AAAAAACAAAAGCAAAAAAAAACAGAAAGCCCCCACAAACCTGACGTTCCTCTATAACTGCATCTCCACTTTTCTGCAGTAATATTAAATAATGACAAAACATGTATGTTTACGTGTAGAGCGATGTGCAGTTCCGATTATTTACCTTTTGATAAAAGAGATTGGGCTGAAGAGACAAGGGAGAAAATCAAAGTGTAAAATGCTGAATACTCGGTTTATAGGAGCCTGGGTATTCAAAGTATTGGGAGGAGGAAAAAAAAAAAAAAAAAAGGTCGAGGGTGAGGGTGAAGAAGTGGGTCTATTTCATGCATGCATTTATTTTCAGCCCGGCACCCTGTCTCACCTCCGCGGCTGTGCTGTAGCGGCTCCCCCAAATCTGAGCCTTATTAGTGCTTCTCTGCATTTACTTATTTAATGAATTAATTATTTCTCATTGACGGAAATCCGTGAAATCGCCAACTTCGGCGGCATTTTGATCACTTGCAGGTGCGCAGCGGAATATACGCGCCCGCGTTTTTATCTGCCAATAGCCGGTGTTAGGTAAAGTGCACGGGGCGGGGGGGGGGGGGGCGTGGAGGACACACACACACACACACACACACGGTATTTATTGTTCCTATTCCACCCGTGGAGTTGTCGTTGAAGTGGCAAGTGACGGGGGGGGAGGGAGCCATCCCCGCGCACTGCCCCCCCCCCCCCCGCCCCGGGGGGCTCACTGAGACGCCGCCGCTGTATGGTAACGCGGGAGGGGGGTGGGGAGAGGGAGGGTGTGATGCTGTGGCCGGGACCCCCGGCATCCCGACAGCGGCGGGGGAGGGGGTGCGGGGGGGTGTTGCTCCGGGGGCGGTAGCGGCGAACCCCCCAAAACACCCCCCCCCCCCGTCCCGTCCCGTCGGGGTGAGCAAGCGGGGAGGCGGCCGTCGCGGGGGGAGGGGCGGGAAGGAGGATGCGCTGCGGAGGCGGACAGACGGACAGACGGACAGACCCCCCCCCCCATTCACCTCCGCCCGCCCGCCTCTCTGGATATGTTAATGGGGGTCCGCAGGGGAGCGGGGGCTGCACGTGCCCTAATTAAAAGCAGGGGAGGGAAGTTGGATTTAGCGGAGTCCCCGGCACCCGCGCTTGTTAAAAACGTGTAGAAATGGTGTTTTCCTAATCATTTATTGCTATGTGTAGTAAGGTAAGAGCTAACCTAGCGGATGGTAGTGTCGGTTGTCGTCTTGGGATGTTTTGGATTTTTTTTTTTTTTTTTTTGCTGTTGTTGCTGTTTTTTTAATGTTTTACGTGTAGCCATCTGACCGCTTTTTATTGGGTGGCACATCAGTGTAGAGCTCGTAAAGCTGGAGCGAGAGGTAGCGCTGGAAACACCGTAAGAAACGCCGAAGAATTAAAGTGTATATGTGGTGAAATACACTGAGTAATACAGACCGAGCATGATACTCTGCTCTTTATTAAAAAAAAAAAAAAAAAAAAAAAAAGGCATGACAATCTTTGGGGAGGGCTAACTCTTGCCCTGTACGCTCATGCAGGTAAGTCATTCATAGCGTAACTAATTATCTATGCATGCACTTGGACATTCATTTAAAAAAAAAAAAAAAAAAGAGATAAAAAATGAAAATGTGTGTGTGGGCGGGTGTTGTTTTATATAGAATAACGTTGCTGGTTTAAAAACATAACATGCTTGGACTGTAAAAACAGAGTAGCCTTCCATCTTTTAATCAGAATTCAACTACTCTTCTTTCTTGTAAGAATTTCCCCATAAAGGTGAATCACAATGTGCTAACAGTGTTTGTAATGTAATACAAGGCCTGTGGATTTTTGGATAAAGCAAAAGTAATGATATTTGCAATATTTTAAAACAACCTCTAAAAATGCGTTTTCTGTGAAGAATTAGGTTTAAGGCTACACACGTTAAAATTAGATGTAATACATTTAATAAAGCAGCACCTAAGACAGAACATACAAAATGCCTCCCTCAGAGAAAGCTCTCCGTAACTGTGTCTACACATTTTAAGAGAAAATTGTGAAATAAAAGGTTCCTGAAATCAAGGCAGATATAAGGGTGCTTATAGGCCATAATACAGCAGTGCAATATTATAAATCCTTTGAAACAGTCCCCCTAACACCCGTTATCTATACCACTCCATATGTTAAAACGTTTGGGTTTGTTTTGTTGGTTATTTTTTTCGTTGTTCTTGTTTGGGTAGTTTTTTTTTTCGGGAGGGGGGGAGGGTTGGGTTTTGGGTTTGGTGTTTGTTTTTTTTTTTTTTTTTTTTTTTTTGTCCCTAATACGAAGTTAATTAGGCGATCAAACTTCCAGTTTCGAGCTAGCGGTATGATAGCTGAACAGGGCAGTGAGATCCTCCTCTCCTCTTAAGACCCAATAAGCATCTTGTGCACCTTGATTTGTAATATTAGCACCATGCATGTTTTGTAATATTATACAAACAGAAGCGTGGAGGAAACTGAATATAAAGACACATACACAGCAGAGTCTCGCCAAAAGACGGGGGAAACAGAAGAAAAAAAAAAAAAAAAAAAAGAAAGGAGAGAGGGTAGTTAAAAGGATAAAAAAAAAAAAAAAAGACGGAGAGATCAAAGGAAAAGCAATAGTCTGTTACTTTTAGTAAATTAAAAAAAATGCAAATATACCTTTACATATGCATCAGTATTAAAAGTAATACACGCTGGAGCCAAGAGGAGCAGCAGGAGCAGGAGGAGGAGAGGAGAATGGCGCAGCGGCCGAGCCGCTCGCTCCCCGCCGGGCTCTTCTTAGCGCCCATCCCGTCCCACATCGCTCATTTCGGGGGTGTTTGTTTTGCTGCTGCTGCTGGCGATGGTGATGATGATGATGTTTGGAAGGACAGGAGAGGCCCGGGTTTTTTGTTCCGTTAATTAGGATCTTCCGCAATCGGGGCGATCGCTCCCGGAGTCCTCGGTCTCTTCTCCGAGCAGTGGAATTTGCATATTCTTTTCTCTCTTTTTTTTTTTTTTTTTTAATGCCCTAATTTCCTTGATGTATGCAAATGTAGCCGGACGTACAGTATGCCTCGAGCTGACGTCAATGGACGTGACCTCGCCGTTAAACCTTGAACGTGAAGCGGGGACGGAGGGGACGCGGGGCGGGGGCGCAGCCGCGGAGACGCTAACGCGATGCTCCGCGCCGGGGGAGGCAGCTGGCAGGCACCTTCCGCGGATGCGCAGGATTCCTGGCCGCGCTTTGCCGCGCCGCTCCGCGTCCCTACCCGATTAAATGAAGCACTGGCGGCAGCAGCAGCCCGCCCGCCCCTCCACATCCCCCCCCTGCGCGGCCCCAAAACAAAGCCCACCTCTCCGGAGCACCGCCGAGCCCGTCCTGCCTTTTTTTTTTTTTTTTTTTTTTTTTTTTTTTTTTTTTTTTTAATGGGTCGTTATTTGCTGGTTCTCTTCATCAGGCGACAAGCGGGAAATAGAAAAATCTGGCCAATTAAAATAATAATAATCGTAATAATGCGAAAAAAAAAAAAATCCCACTGCTCCCTCCCCAAAATACTGCATGACATAGGCGTGTTGAGCCAGCGGAGGCCAAGCATGACTGGGGGCGGTCAGCGGTGCTCCGCCGTGTACCGCGGTACCAGGGAGGGGGGGGTCGGCGACCGTCGGTGCCACCGGCCGGGGTGAAGGACGCGGGGGACGGGGGGGACACGGGATTGTAAATCTAGTCTCAGACCTTGCCGGTCTGATCTGGAAGTCAAAGGCGCTCCCTCGGCTTTGCAGAGATCCACAACCCGCCCCCCCCCCCCCACCCCAAGCCGCTTCTATCGGGAGGAAGAGCGGTGTAAGCGGGGACTGGGTGCCGGTGTAAGCGGGGACGGGAGCGGTTTGTGCTCCTCTTTCGCTCTCTCCCCCTTCCCCCCTTCATCCCCCCAACCTTTTAGTGTCCAACGATGTTTGGAGAACTTTGAGAGCCGGGGGACTTTCATGCCGGAGGGATGAAGCCCATCCGGTGGTTTGGAAGCGGGGAGGGGTGGGGGTGTGTTTTCTCTGTGAGGACCCGAATTTCTCTCTTTTTTTTTTTTTTTTTTTTTTTTTTTCCTCCCGACCTTATTTACTGACGTGCTGGCCATGCCGTGAGATGCTCCAGAGCATCTCTCCGGACCTTGGCACGGCCACTCCTACAGCAAACCGGCTGCCAGCGGGCTTCTGCACATCCGCACCCCCCCAAACCTCGCACACACCCCCCGCACACCCCCCACCCCTCCCGCACGCTTACGCACTGCTTCTCCATTCAGACATCTCAACTTAACTTAAAACCCCACGCTAGGGAGCGAAAAATAGTGTATTTCTAGCCGGGGGAGGCGGGAGGAGCGATGTTGATTTTTATAAACCCACTCAGCAATTTTTTTGGTGTAGCCGCGGGACACACACACACACACACACACACACACACACGGTTCGGCTCCCTCCTGATTTCCCTCGTTTCACCCCGGGCTTGCGTTTTGGTCCGCACAGAGATCTCTTTGTCCGCCGGGTCCCCGGGGGCTGTGCCGGCGGGGGATGCCCGGGTGCCGCGGTGGGGCTGTCCCCGCGGGAATCCGCGGAAATATCCGCGTTCGGGGACGGTGGAAGCGCCTCCCCCGCTCCCTGCAGCCGCCCGTCCGGGCGAGACACCCATCTGGCACCATATACAGCTATACAGACACATGCATATATATGTGCGCGGGTGTAGGATGTGTGTGTGTATATATATATATATATATATATATAAAAAATTTTGAATGTCGCCCCTCCCCCCGCCCGCCCCTTCCCCTCTCATCTCCCCCCCCCCCCCCAACACATACACATACCCACACTCCTTGACACCTGCCCACGCGTGGCCGGGGCGTTGTGTAAACCCCGCCCAAGAGTGGGGGGCCATCACGATCCCCCCCCCAGGCAGGGACAGGGGGGAGCCGGCCTGCTCCCCCCCCCTCCCTCGCCGCGCACCACCTCCCTCCCTCCCCCTTCCATCCCTTCCTCCATCCCTCCCTCCCCGCACCCTTCCCGCTCCGGCGCACACCCAAACTTCTCCCAGCCCGCCCCCCCGCTCCCCGCCCGCCTCCCGCACCCTAAAACCCAGCCGGGGCTTTGACGGCTGTTTTCGCGCTGTTTCCAAACCCGGAGCGATGGAGGAGAGAGGACAGAAAGAACCGGTAGCTCTTTAGGACACACTCCTTCCAGCGACGAGAGGTCACGCTACAAGTTTGCATGACAGCAGGGATGGGAAGAGAGTCTTTTTTGTTAGCACCATGACTTTTTTCTAATTTTGTTCCTTTTTTTTTTTTTTTTTTTTTTTTTTTTTTTCTCTCCTCTCTTTCCCCCTGCTGTTGGCCGGCTGGTTGGTTTGGACGAAAGTTACACAAAATGGCAGTGCCTCCCAAAAAGAAGACTCGGAAGAAACTGTTCTTCAGAAGTTAGCTGGACGAAAACACCTTAGAAAACTCGACCTTTCGATGCATTTTTTTTTTTAAGTTTCCAAAGAAATGCGCGCTTTCCTTTTTCTCTCGGAAAAGGTAGCCATTGCTCTTCTTTAGACTAGACATTTCTAATTTGTTCCGACTGTCAGAATGGGACTATGAGAGGTTTTTGGTGCAAATTCATTATCTCTGGCAACGCATAACGTATAGTAGGAACTGAAAAAGACCGTGGCAATGGATGAACAATAGGGCTTCAGTTCATCAGCAACAAAAGCGTTGGGGAAATTGGTTGAATTTCAGAGCACGTCCTCCTCAGCAGAGAGGGCTGGACTAGACCTTGGCCAACCCCCCCAAAAAACTTGCAGAGCTTCACATACAACACTTCACTTTCTACTCCGGGGCGTAGGAAGAAATATGGAAAAAAAAAAAAAAAAAAAAGCGAAATAAAAAAAAAAAAAAGCCAAACCCAAGCCAACTTTCTGCGTTTCTTTCTCGTTTTCCTGGATGGAAGATTTCTAACTCTTTCAGGGCCTTTCGCGCAAGAAGGACACCGTGGAGCTAAGCGGCACTTTTAAATAGGGATGGCGAGGGGAAAGACGTGAATTTCTGGAGACGTGAAAAAGCTTTCTCTGCTCCGAGGGGGCTTGGCTGTGGGAATCTTTGTTTGCCACCGGGGGCTCAGCTCAACTCCTAGATCTGGGGTCAAATCTTTCTCTGATAAAGACGAAGAAATGTAAGTACCCCGTGTGCGTGTGTGTGTGGGTGGGAGTGGGGAGGATAGACCGATCCTGAATTCCCTGCAAAATTAGGGATGCTGAGCCCCGGGCAGGCCGGGGTTTCCAGGGTCCGTGAGAGGCCCGGGCTGGGGCCGCCTCTGTCCGAGCAGCCTGAGAGGGTCACCCCGGTGGGCTCCGGCCGCTTCCACTCGCCCCTGGCGACGGAAATTTGATTAATAAAGCAGGGTTTATAACTTGAGACAGCGGCTCAGGCCGGCGAGCCGATTTTGTGCGCCTGATGCTAAACCTGTTGGTCGTGGGGCGAAGTGAGGTGAGGGAACTGCTAATTATCCGGCAGGCTGCCAGGGTAAAGCAGAGCCGTGGCTTTTCAGGGAGCTTTTTGGCAATGCCTGGGTGCCCTCGAACAGTGTGCAAGGCACGGGAACCAGCATTCAGAGGGCTGAAGTATAGGAAGTAATTTCTGTGGCCTCTATATATTCGAGCTTTTGAGGAAAAAAAAAAAAAAAAAAAAAAAAAAAAGAGGGGTGGAAAGAAATAAAAAAAGAGGGAGAAGAAGGAGAGAGAAGCCCAAGGCATGTCTTGCAGCTGGCGGGGGTGCAAGGGTTGCTCGCTGCAGCTAACCCATCTGCTACCTCCGCACGGAGTGGGTCACTCAGAGACTCAGAGCAAGTAGCCATCACTTCCAGGGTTATCCAAAACGCAGCCCGGTCAAAACACGCACCCCTCCGCGCCGAAGTGGGTGTTTAATAAACGCGTGATGCTCCTGCCGCTCTTCTCTTCCCGGCCGAGGCGTCGCAGGGGCCGCGGTTCAGGCTGAGTCAGGCCCGGCTCTGCTGAGCCCGGCTCAGGACCGCACCTTTGCGGGTGTTCGAGGAGGGCAGGGGGCTTGTCAGGGCCCCCGGGAGGGCCGGGGAAGGGCGGCACAGCCGCCGACCCAGTCCCCGGGTGTCACTGGCGCGGAGGGCTCGTCCGAGGGTGCTCCACTGCATCCCTCCATCCCTCCCGCCAAAAAAAGTAACATCCCTCCGCAACTCCGGTCCACCCCGGGTCTGTGAGACCGTAAAAGAGAAGGACTCGGTTCCTTCTTGGCAAATAGTAGTAGTAGTAATAATAGTAATAATAAAATAATAATAATAGAAATAATAATAATCACAACAACAACATGCTTTTTTTTTTTTTTAGCCGACGCTGATGTAATCGATATGATGCAATGAAAGCGAGTAGCTTACTTTGTATTTATTTACCCCCGCGGCTCTTGATACTCTCGCCGGGCTGTAAATAGAGAGCATGCCTTCCCGGTGATCCCGGTTTCAGGACACCGGCGGTCTGGAAGAGCTGGGAAATCTGGCGGGGAAACGCTGGCTTAATGTGTTTTGCATGTTTTGAACTGAAGGCTAGGTGGAGCCTCCATCCTTTATTAAGTAGCTGGCAGCTTATAGTATGCAAATCCTATATCTGCCCCTGTAGTTTTTGTGACTTCTATTCAAGCAGCCCCAAACAATGTTCTTAACCTTTCATTTTTAAGTGTAGTTGTCCAGAAATAATGATGATTTTTTTTAAATTATATTATTCGTATTATTTCCTGTAAATATTGATTACCACATTTAACCCTGCACATACCAGAGTACATTACTCATATCTGTTTTGTGTCACGTTAGATCATCTGCAGGAAATGTGGCTAGTTATTTCCCCGTTTAATCTACAGACAAACGTTTTAGCAATTTATTTAATAATCTCAGAAGTTAACATATTCGGCACCTTCTGAATACACATAGGTTTACCTGCTCGCATATATTTCATGAACAAGAACCAAACACTGAAAGTGTTTAAATTACGATCCTTTGCTTTTTTTTTTTTTTTTTTTTTTTTTTGGCTATTTTTCAGATTTAGACAACGCAGACAAACCACAGAGAGTGACAATCACAAGAAACGGTAATTTTTTTTTTTGTTTGTTTAATAAAAGTCAGACGATATTATATGCATTACCTACAGATATGAATAGGTGTTCTTTAACAGCACGCAGTATTTCCACGTGTAATTAGTGACTGTCTGCGGTTTGTTTTGGTTTTTGTGGGTTTTTTTTGTTTTTTTGTTTTTTTTTTTTTTTTTTTTTTTTCCCCTGAGACTTTGAATTTTCAATAGTCTGCCTTTTCTTATTTTGTAATTTGGATTTGTATCAGATACCCCTTTACATACCATATGTTCAACATAACAGAATCTGCAGTTGCCTGTAAATGGAATTGTGGTCACAAAAAAAATGATGAGGCACATTTATTAGAAGGCGAGCCGGTCAAGTGACTTACCTGGCTGGGAAGAAAGGGATGCTTTGCGGGCAAAGCTGGCCTAGGCTGTACTGGCGTACCGTGGTTTACATCTACGTGAATTCTGTCATAATTTAGTGTGAAAAAGGGATTTATGTAATGCTACACCCTTCTTGTGTATCTCACAGCAGCTGAAGGGGGGGTCCTGTGTGTCTTGTCCGTGAAAGGTGGGGATGCTGGCGTGGGGATGGGGCTCTGATTGCAATAATTAGAGAATCATAAGCATTCCTCTTTGAAGTCAATAGAGATGGTTTATTCTTAAGAAATCCACGCAGGATGTTTCTTCTTTACGTCACAACCATTTGGAGACCTATAAAAAGATTAGAAAACAAGCATGGCAATCACATACTAATCTATAGGCCATTAGCAGGAATTTATTAGGGTGGTAGGAGGAAGAAGTCAATGTTTGGATTCCATATCTTCTAATATGCAGGTCATTTGTACAGTGATTTTGGAATAAATGAGTTTCATACAATTATGTAAACTGGAAGAAATCAGGCAGTGTTAAGAGCTGCTTTTGGCAATTCAGGTGATATTTTTGGCAGTAATTTCAGGACTACACATTGCTTAAACTTTCCACATGCCAGACAACACCACAGTCTTGGAAATGTATTTTACAACTGCTGCTTACATTTTTGTGACATTCCGAATAAGCAAAGACTTTTGAGCAGGTCTTACTGGACACTCATTGACTTTGAGGCCCTACTAGATGTCTGAGTTAGGAAATGTAATTGGTAATGTGGCTAATGAGCAGAGAGGTCATAATCGTCATGATGGCTCTTTTGATTTGATGAAGCTCCAATGATTGGTCAACAAAACGTGACAGGAGTATTGCAGTTACTTCCCAAGTCAGTGTGTAAGTGAGGTGGTCGTGAGAACAGGGCTTGGTGTTTTAAGGGTAAATCTTGCATCTTTGGAACATGCCCATTTGCAATAATACACCTTGCATTTAACTGTAAATCCGGTGACATGGTGATATGTTTTATATGCATTAACATGTACGCATGCGTCTGTGTTAATATGAATAATTTATAAACATACCTATATAAGCATTGGTGTACATACACATGTACATGAGGAGAACTTGAATTCTCATGCCTCTGACTGGAAGAATTTAATGCATAAGCTCACAAGCCTGTGGTGTGCAGCACATGCCTGATCACCAACACTGCTGCCCCTAGCTATTGACAGAAAAAAAACATCTTTCTCTCTATCTGCCAATTCAGAAAAGCTCATTAGAGTTTTACATAATATCAAAATGATCATGTGCCTCTGGATGTATTGGATGTCTGATTTGGTTGCCCCTGTTGTGCCTGAACAGCCCTAGAGGTAGTGGAGAAGGTCAGTAACTAATAATGCAGCATCTAAAGATTTCTAACCATTTTGTGCCAGGCTCTGTGTTTTCCACAAAGAACACTGGCAAAATTAGCTCTTACATCTCTCAGGTACAAAGCACTGGTGGTAAATCGCAGGGTCCCACTATACTAGAATACCTAATACCTGTTTTTTTTTGTTTTGTTTTGGTTTGGTTTTGTTTTTTTTTTTTTTTTTTTTTTAAATCTCCATTTCAAAGGCTGAGAATCTGGAAGCACAAATGTGTGGCTTCGTTAGTAATATCGCTGCTGAATTCAAGATTGGGCAAATTAGCGACGTATGTGTATTACTTCGTGGTGGCAGTATCAATTCTGGGCCTTGTCTGACAAATGAGATTGCTTCCCCATTTTCATGCTCTTGTAATGTTAACTTGTGATAAAAATGGACTGGTTGATGTAGCTGTGATTTTACAGTGTAACCATATACACCTACATATATATTTTAACACAAACCCATGCACACACATATGCCTAGACTGACACGTGTGTGTATGTTTCCCCCATGTACACACAAGCACACATATGCTTTATCATGTAAGCAGCCTATGTAGCCAACACAGAGCAACAACAACTTCAGCTTAACTCCATGCATTTAAAAATTTCCCCCTAAAAATATCAACATATGCAAACAGAGGTTAATTTACCAACAAATATACTTAAATGCAGTGTGGCATTTAATACAGAGCACATGATATGTTGTGTTTTATTTTGTATCTTAAAAGAACAGTAGCAGCATGGATTTTAAGTCATGCTTCCTTTAGGAGTGCGGAACAGTCCATATTCTGTCTGTGCTGATTTTTTCAGTGTGTATCCTATACTGACTGAAGCATGCACAAGCTACTGAAGTGCATTTATTAATTTCAACAGTAAATATGGTAGAACTCAGTGAGAAGATTCATTGTATCACGTATACTCGAGAGACCTTTAATGTTTGCACTTTAGACTTAGAAAAATTCTATACAAATTATACTGTTAAATAATTCAAAGTATAATGTTCTTTTTGGGGGGTGGGGGAGGGGGAGCTGAGAGACTTAAATCCTAAAACTGTACATAACGCGTTCTAACAGTTTAGAAAGACTTGCCTCCATCGGTTCCTTGAGTAAGGTCGGCATGCATTTCTTCGCTCTAAGTACGAGGTTAATAAAAATAAACGATAAATCAGCGTTTTTATTAAGGCATTTCGCCAGATAATATACAGCCTTAGATAAATATTGCTGCAATGTTCACCTGTGTTGCATTCTAACGCAGACAGACACACACAGGGGCTGGGAGAGACGGAGGGAGGGATGGAGGGAGGGAGGGAAGGAGGAAGGGGGGAAAGAAGGGGGGGGTATGGATGCTATAAAATAGCCTGAGCCCTGCTGCTCGCAGCTTTCCCAGCAGACAGGCAGAGGAAAACGCCTTGCACAAGCCGTCCCGGTGTAAACACCTGCAAATCACTACAGGCTCGAAACACGGCTGGGATGCGGAGCCATTTAAAAAAAAAAAAAAAAAAAAGAAAAACCACAAAAACAAACCAAAACCCAAATAACACAGAAACCCGCCCCACCACACACACACACACACACACACACGCGCGCGCGACACAGCGGAGCAAATTGTCGGTGTAATTACACACCGACTCTCTGCGTAGCACAGACCTTGATCCCGGCCTTAGAAAGCAAGGCCCCGCTCCGAGCCACCGCAAAGTCCCTCCTCGCATCTCTCCCGCGCAAGCGGAGGCTGCCAGAAGAGAAACGCAGGCAAAGGCGCTCCCCGGGTCTGAACACGCTTTTATCTGTCCTTAGAGCTTGCTTCCAGTCTCTGGATGTTAGAGCTGTCTGCGCTGGCGAGGAGGATGGTGAAGGCGGCGGGCGGATCTCCCTGCGGCGGGGATGCTGGAGGCAGAACGGGCTGGTCCCGCCGGCCGCTCATGCATATCAATAGCCGGGTGTACTTGAGATTTCTCATGACATCATCATTACCTTGGTCTCCCGCGGTCCAGGACCTCTGACCTTGCCGGGCTGGTCCACATTTTGGCACTGAAAGCCCTCCAATGATGGCCCTTTTCTCCTTCTTTCAGACCGGGGGCAGCAGCAAGCCGGCAAGACCGCATCTTCTCCTCCCCAGCTCTAGGAGCCCCGAGAAAGCGAGGATCTTCCCCCCCTAAAACACACACGCATGCAAGATATTTGCAATCAAGCTGCCACCATTTGGTAAAAAGCTCTATGCCGTGCATATTCTAAAGGGATCAGGAGCCGCATCCTCGAGTCACCCTGTCACTTTCTACTGAAACGGGATTTTTTTTTTTTTTTTTTTTTTTTTTTTCCTTCTTCCTCCTGACACTGCGCTGGAAATTGCCGATGGCTTTACGTCTTTATAGAGGCTAAAGAGTCTTTCGTGAGAACGAAGCGATTTACAATGCAAATAGAGGCCTGTGAAGGGATGGATGTTTCTCACTCTTAACGCAGCTTGACGCACCTTAATAGCTGGTTTTATTTTCTGGTATCAAGAGACGAATTGTGGGCTACCGCTGCCGGAAATTACTGGCTGAACGAAAAAGTTCGGAATAAACTTTGAAGGCAACAGCTCTCTTTTGGATGTTATTAGCTGCACATACACACAGACACAGAAACCAGGTCACAATTGCAAAAAAAAAAAAAAAGGATTAATATTTTAAAGCAGCACTAGTACTCTTGGAGGAAACAACACGCCTGTTTGTCAGAAAGAATCTGGATTCTAGCAAGGAAAAAAAAAAAAAAAAAAAAAAAAAAAGCTTTGAGGGAAGCGAGTTGTTATCTTTGGTTATCTAGCTGTATGAGTGTTTTGGTCTTCATAAAGCTAGATAACCGAAAGTAAAAACTCCTTCAAGATCATCGTACAGCGTGTGAAAATGAAAGACTACCGCAAGAGACAGTAAAAACGGAGAAAGGTCAGGAATGCTTATTGAATTTAACATTTTTACAGCTGAAGGTGGGAGTGGAGGAAATTAAATGGCATACTCATTCCAAAATATGAAGTTGTCAGATGGTACAGAATGGATAGCCAGACGCTGCACAGAGGAAATAGCACTGATGGTAAACAATGCATGTGCAACTATTGATGTTGATTAAATAAATAGAAAAAAAAAAAAAAAAAAAAAAAAAAAAAAGAGAAACCCAGACCAGCTAACGTTTAATTGGTCTAAGAGAATTTTTTTTTTTCTGTCTCTTACAAAGCTATTTGGAAATGCTGAGTTCCACTTTGCAAAATGATTCAT